ACTGGTTCACAGTGTTTCTCATTGACAGGATTGGCAGGTTTACCATTCAATTGATTGGTTTCACAATGATGACAGTGTTCATGTTTGCTCTAGCCATTCCTTACCACCACTGGACTCTCCCTGGCCACCATATCGGGTTTGTGGTCCTCTATTCACTGACCTTCTTTTTTGCCAACTTTGGACCCAACGCCACTACATTTGTCGTGCCTGCTGAGATTTTCCCTGCTAGATTGCGGTCGACTTGCCATGGAATATCAGCTGCATGTGGAAAGTTAGGGGCAATGGTGGGTGCATTTGGATTCCTGTATTTGGCTCAACCACAAGACAAGACCAAGGCTGATGCAGGGTATCCTGCTGGAATTGGGGTGAGGAATTCACTCATTGTCCTTGGCGTAGTCAACCTTCTCGGATTATTTTTCACTTTCTTGGTTCCAGAATCGAAGGGGAAGTCACTTGAAGAGATGTCAAGGGAAAATGAAGACTCAACTGAGGAAGGAGCAGAAGTGGAGAATCATTCATCTGATAATAGGACAGTTCCTGTGTAAAAGCAGTTACTAGTTTCATTTCTTTCCATTCTATCCTTCATATGTTCTGCAAAGGTTCTATGAAGCTATTAGTGTAGACATTCTGTGTAATTGCAGCAACTAGAGTTCCATATGTTTTATGTTTTGTGTCATATATTGGATGCAGTATGTAAAAACTCTTCTCTTATTAACCTTTCTTCATTACTCCCTTCTCTATAATATATACTGAAGAGTGATTATATTAAAAAATTAGCTTTAAATAATTTCAAGATCAGTACATTCTCTGCATGAACAGTGATGAAACTAGTATTTTCGTCAAGTTAAAAGTACTTTTGGGAGCATTTGCAGTGAACCTTTTTTTGTGTCTGAATATGCCAAGATGATAAACACTAACTAAATACTTTTGAAATATACTCTAAAGCAAGCAATCCATATGTGATAATAACTCTATTCCCTTATCTACTGTTCGGTATTGTAAGTTTATACATTAGATTGTTGATGTGTAACATTAATTAGGTAATAACATGATAACATTACAATCTATTCAAATATTGTATTCATCAAAACAATGCAGTACAATCAATACAATACGAAACATTATAAAACTACATGTAACAACCATTCAAACAAGCTAGCTTCAAACCTACGAACTAGGACTAGCATCGAACTAAGTGAGTCAAGTCTTAGCCTAATTGAGCCAAGCTCAACCAATCTTTGCCTAATTTCCTAATTTACTGTAATTGAGTTGAAGTACCAACTTGTTTTCTTTTTAACTCTTCTTCTAAATAACGATATGTTGTTATATATATACCACAAATTACAGTTGAAAATATACAGTAACAAGATAGTTGAAGCTTGTTCAATATTCTCAATGAACCCTTTGCCATAACTAGCAGATCGTTCTCATTTAGAAAAAATAAGTGTAGCATGTTTACTTAATCCATCCTCGTCTTCATGATTTTCTTCCCTATAACAATGTTCGACTGTTATGTTCCTTTGAACAACCTTAGGTATGATTTCTTCAATGATTCTTTGGATTCTCCATGGTGATTTATTAATTTCATTGATTATTTCAACCGCTAAAAGAGAGTTCAATTCGACTTCTAAGACTTCAAATTGTTGATGAAGAACTTGTGGTGTGGTCAAGATATATGGTCTAAAGAGTGATTCTTAGAGAAATGTTGATGATTTCCAGGGTGGGGTGTTATTGAATGATTCGGGTAAGTTTGTGAAGGGGAAGCTTCATTGGGCTACTACTGGTCGTCTTAGTGATTATGCATATATTTTTCCAAAGTAAGTTCCTACAAATAATAGTGTACGTCCTTTGACTTTGAGAACGCGTTTAGGGAGGATGAAGATGAAAGACCAATAACTGTGAATGTATCGTAAGACAGAGTTCACCAGCATAGGATAGGTGCATGGTAACCCAGCACTTTCACCCTAGCTATGAACTTGACAATTAGTACTTCACAATGTACTTCTGTTATGAACCAAGTTTAGCCTAATGTGGATACCAAGGTCACACAAGTAGTTATTGGGGTGAGAACGAGTAATAGGGCAAGGTTAATTTGGGATCCGGATTGAGTAGTGGGCATGAAACAGTTCCATCATAAAGATAGTGATACGTGATTTAGGGATTATGCAAATTGTTGAGTAAAAAGTCTGATTCTCCCATCTTCATTCTTAGTCGAGCTTCTCATCCCCTTCTATCTATATCTGTATTTTCTGATCTTCTTCCTCTGATTAACCTTTTCAGTTTTGTTTTAAACACTGTTAGTTGTTATTAGCTTGTTGTTTCCATTTCTCAAGTGTATTTTGGGTTGTCAGTTATTATAATACATATCATTGTTGTGTTGGTAACTTGAGTTGTTACAACTTCAGATTACTTAACTTACTACCTGTATTTTTTTTCATCTTCACTGTTTAGAATGTGACTGAAGCACATTTGAAATTTCTCAAATGTTTGGGAAATGGAGCTCCCGCTTTTTTTGCTTAAACAAGGCTAGCAGTTTCTAATGAAAAATATGTTTGATACATGTTTCATGGGGGCTAGCTGGTGTAAATAGTTGACAAATGAATTAATAAACTTAAGAAATGAATAAGTGCATTCAATTCGAAATAGAGACAAATTAACGGCATCACCAATCTAATAAAAAATGAACTTCCTCCTTCCCCTCCATTAAGGCCCTTTTTGCAAGCTCCCGACTTCTGAGTTGGGGCTACTGATTTTTTCCATCAAAAGCTTTTATTTCTTTTAATTGACTATGCCAAGGTGTGCTTCTATGAGAAGTAGAATGACTCGAATTTGTCAAAAACACTAAATGATTGATGAAATCTGTAACCGTTCCAATAACATCTGAGAATAGGTTGAGTCTCCTTGGATGACAACTCCATAGCAAAGCATCCACAAAAGTCTGATTCATCCATTGAACATTGACATTTAAAACATCCACCCGAAGGGTATAACCTATGTGGTCCATTTGCAAATCTGTCATGTTGATATCACCGCAATTGATAAAATAAAGAGAAACTTCAGACCAAGAGGATGAATTAGATAGAAACTTCCTCAACTTACAAAACCATGAAGCGTTTAAATTGTTGCATTCAAGAATGATTTTTGAGTGCTCTAATTGGGTTGACTCTCTTGCAATTTTAAGTTCAGGAATTTGACTCCCCAAATAGTCAAGTGATACCAAATTCGGAGCATCAATCTCCCATGTTGACGAATATTCAAGACCTTCAAGGAATCCAACTTAATCTTCCCAAGATTCCCCGAACAATGCTCAAGACTGAAAGAAACAATCAAAGGACAACTATTAGGTAGAGTCTGAAGCATGTTCTCGTCTAATCTAACATGAGATAGAATAACAAGGACAGTTACTTGAATGTGTAGTAGGACAGAGTTCACCATAGCTGTAAGTTTGTCAATTAGTACTTCACATCTATTTTGGATATCTTGTCAATTACAAGAGATCTTCATTTTCACACATAAGCTCGGAATAGCTCGATGTTCAGATCTACATTGCCAAAGCATTACTAATTGGAACGGTTTCATATATACATGAGGTTTTATAAATTATTGTATCATTGTATAGTGCATTTAAGATTGTTGGATGAAGGATTTTTTCCCATACTTGTTACTCTCTCTTGTGAGGGATTATGGGACTAAAACATAAATACATAATATCGAGGCTTCCACTCTGTCCAAATATTTACAGAATATGAGGCACTGTTAGCAAAATCAAATTCAATGATTGCAAGAGAAGTACATATTCAGGATGATGAAAATCGAACGTTTTAACCTAATGATACAAGACTAAAAGGTTCTCTGCATTTGTTTGATGAAAAACAATGTGCAGCCTGATACAAGTACTGGTATTTATACTCTTAGTTCTGCAATTGAAAAATGAAAACGCGCTCGAAGTCCTTATGAGCATCTCAGGAGAAGGAAAACAGAGTTCATTGGTTCATAGAGAAATATACCATGCTATCAAATATCAGCTTACAAAATCAACAAATAGAGAAATTTGTAGGCTTTTATTTTTTTAATTGACTATGTCAAGGCGTGTTTCTATGAGAAGTAGAATGACTCAAATTCTTCATATACATCCATGAAACATGTAATCATTTTAACACTTCAGCATAGGTTGAGTCTCCTAAGATGAATTTTTTTTTTCAAAAGTATGTTTTAATAAGTGCTTCTGAAAATAAGCTAATTTTTAGTAGCAATACCAAACACTCTAAATTTAACAAGCAAGTTTTGATAAATATCTTATGGTAATCAATTTTTTTTGCAAAACTTAAATATTAAAGTTGTTCAATTGAAACTTTAAAAACTATTTTGAACTTAATACTAAAAAAATAAAGGACCTTTTTTTTTGTCTCTATATCTAGCCATCTTAAGTTTTTAATTTATATTCATAATTATAATTATTTATATTACTTTAAATTCATTTGGATCCTTAAAAATATTGATATACTTCATTAAAAGACTTTATAATAAATAAACTAGTCATTAAGTACTATTCTTTAAGGTATTTAAGAATAACAATTTAATTAGTTTCAACAAAAATAGTCTTTATAATATTGATTGTTATTATTTAAGATACTTAAGAATAACAATTAAATTATATTGAATAGTACTTAATGACTAATTAATACTAACACAATATGTGTTGTTAGTATTATTTTTTCTTCTTATTTGAGTTATGTAATTTAGATAATAATAAGTGTCATTTTACTCTCTTCTCTCTCCTAGGAAAAACTCTAAACCCATCCATAAAAAAATTAATTTAGTATAATTGATTCGTACGACTATAAAGTTAAGGATCAACCTTTTCAGCATTCTTTTGTATATTTTAATTAAGGATATTTTGTTAAAATAAAATAGACGTAATTAAGGCTTGAACTAAATTCGAAAAAGGAAGCATATTGATTTCATAAATTTTTCAAGTCATTGCAATGTACTATATATTATTATCCTTTCAGTAGGTTGCTAATAACCAAAATTATATCAATAATTCCTTGAAGCTTGTCACTAGCAGCTTTCAATTGGGGTGATTCAGCAGGTGGATCTGAAAAATTGTCATCACACGTAGAAGGATCATCCAAAGCAGCAGATGCATGAATATTCAAACCAACATAGTCTTTAGATTTTAAAAGAGCAGGCAATCCTCTAAGATCATCAATACCATCATTGTAATTCTCCAAACACGAACTATATCTCGTCTTTAATTTTGGATTTGTGGCCTGATTAAGTAATGTATTAACAAGATCATGTGTAGATTGCATGTTCTTTAGTGATATGTCTATTGAGATAGTCGCAAGGCCTTCAAGATTTGCACCTTTGGATCGAGAATCCCCTTTTAGAGCCGATAAACATATAGTGGGTTTTTGTGTTTTTGAACAAACATCGTTTATCAGATCGGCTCTCACGCTTGTTAACATGAAGATGAGAGAAACTATCAAAAACAAGATAGAGATATATGAATGTGCCATTTCGTATGATCAAATATTTTTATTTTATAACTTGTGTTGTGTTATGGATTTTATATAGCCATGTTTTCCAATTGAGAAAGCTATGTAATTAAAGGGTTTAGGATTTTATGAAAAGAAAATTAAGTAAGAATATACTCGTATTTAATGTCAAAAGATTTTGCTTCAAATTGATATTTCGATCCAATTAATAGAAGATTTCAGTCTATTTATATACCTTTGAAAAACTAAATTAAGTTATATTTCATGTTGGACAAGATTTTAATTACAGTAAATAATAAGACTATATTTTTGGTAGAAAAAAATAATTAGGACCTTGAAATCAAAAATATTCCTTTAATTGTGGTAATTACATTCTATATTGAATAAATTATAGTGGTAAATTGCAATTAATATTGTGAAGTTTATTGCAGTATATATTAATGTCAATATTATCATTCATGACTTTGTTTTAAGAAAAATAAGGAGCTCTATATTACTGAAAGATCTCCCTCCCTCATCACACGATCAAATAATATTTGAATGAATCATTTTTGTATAATTAGATCCCGATTAAATTTGGATTCGCATCAAAAAGTAGGGTGTGTAAAAACCGAATAATATTATGATTGTTTTGCCTATTGTGAAATTTTTGAATGAAGGATAAAAAGTTAGTTCAATCTATATTTCTAAAAAAAAATCATGCTTTAATGTTGCAGGTGTATCATGGTTCATTAATAATAAATAAATAAATAATGTACAAAAAAAGATAATACGTCATGCTTAATTTTATTTTTTTAAAAAAAAAAAAAAAAAAAAACATAATGCGCTACTTAAAATATTGTCTTCTACAAAAGGTCAAATATTAAAGTTCTTTGTCAGCAAAAAGAGTAAAAAAGAAACTACATAAAATTATCCCCAAGACTTTCTTCTTTGTTTGTTTTTTTAAAAAAACAAAATCCAGAAGGTCGAAAAAAAAATACTTCATATGTTTCAATTAACATATTTTCCTTACTTTTCAATTAAATTCATTTTAAAAAGATTTTCTTTTTTTCTTTTTTTATAACTCTTTGGGGTGTGTTTGGTACAAAGGAAAATGTTTTCTTGGAAAAAACAAATGGATTTCTAACTTATTTTCTTATTTTGGTTGACGAGTAGACAATATCTTCTAGAAAAAATTTTTTAATGTTTGGTTGGTGAAAAAAAAATATTTTCCAGAAAATATCTTTTATTTTTTGTTTGAGACTAGAAAATTCTCTTTAGGAGAATAATTTTTAACTCGAAAATCAACCCAATAATCGGTGTAGGAACCGACCCTAACACCCGAAGTAGGACACGACCCTAACGACCGTTCCAAAATCCGACCCTGAGATCTAACCCAAGACCTGACTCAGACTTCCGATGCTGAAATATTTTTAAAAAAAATTAACGTTGTGGGGGACGTCGGGGAGGGGGTGGCTGGGGTAGGGTGGTGTAAAAATGAAATCTGAAAAATTTGAAATATTTTTCAATAACAATTTTTTTAGAAACAAAAAATTGACGAGGAGTGGCATAAAAAAATGAAACTTTAAAAATTTGAAATATTTACAAAAATATTTTTAAAAAATAAAAAAAAATTGACGGGGGTGGACGAGGGGGGGATGGCGGCTGGGGGTAGAGGGGTGGCATAAAAAATGAAAATTTTAAAATTTGAAATATTTTTCAAAAAGAAATTAAAAACAAATCCCGGGGGAGGGGCGTGGTTCGGGGTGGGGGTGGCGTAAATGTAATCTTTTTAATTTGAAATATTTTCAAAAACATTTTTTCTTAAAAAAATTGATGAGGGCAGGAGAAGCATTTCAAAATCGAACAATCGAAACATAATATATTCGAATTCTCATTACTGCATATTTTGGACGACTTATATCTTAGACGAATTCAGATCATATTTATCGAGTATATACTGCCTTATGGTTTTCAGTTCTAGGAGTCCTTCTGAAATTAATGTTTTAGGACTTTTAATATAGTTTAAATAAAGAGAAATTTAAGAAATATTTTTAGTTAATTTTCAATTACTAAATATTAAAATTTCTTTTTTTTTTTTTTACAAATAAGTAAAAAAACTCAATGTCTATAATTTTAATTAATTTTTAAGTCTTGTATATCTAACCAGAAAAATTATAAAACAAACTCAAATATCAAACCGAAGGAGGAATAGAATTCCATAACCAATACCCCACAAGATAATCTAATAACTAAAATCAAATTGATACAAATTAAAATAGCATACTTTAATATGTAACCTTTTTGTTGATGACAAGCCAGCAGTCTTATAATAATGTAAAAATTAGGCAAATGACATAGTATAAGAAAGAAATTACTTTTTTTCCCTACTCTTTCATTAATTACCAAAAATCCCTTTTTTTAGTGTTTTTCGGATACATAATATAGCAGTGTGGATACTTAATATAGCAGCGCGGATACTTTAATTTATAACGGGCGGATACTTAAATTATTAAGTTGTTAGCAGCACGGATACTTAATTAACGGGCGGATGCATAATATAGCAGCGCGGATACTTAAATTTAAGTTGTTAGCAACACGGATACTTAATTAACGGGCGGATGCATAATATAGCAGCGCAGATACTTTAATTAATAACGGGCGGATACTTAAATTAATAAAGTATCCGGCTAAGTTGAATTGGGGGAAAATAAGGGATTTTTGTATTTTAGTAAAAGAGTAGGGAAATATTGAGAATAGGTAAAGAAGTGTTGTGTATTTAAGTAATTTTTCCTATAATATAACTAGTTACACTAGCCCGTACTAGCATGGGCCCAACATATATTTTTATTTTTTAATTTAATTTATGTGACATTAATAAAATTATAACGGTCAAACAAATTTTTTGTATGTTCTTTAAATTTTAAGTTGTTGATTATTGTGGTTAATAATACTTTATATGTAATTTTCAATATTCTCTTTGTCCAATTTATGTGTTATTGATAGAATTTCGAAAGTCAAGCAAATTTTGTATATGTCTTTTAGATTTTGAAGTTATTTAATTATTATGAGTTATAGTACATTTTACGTATATGTTACTTTTTCTATCCCAAACTATGTGACATTAGTAGAATTTTGAGAATTGATCAAATTTTTTGTATGTCCTTTAAATTTTGAAGTTGCTAATTACTGTGTGATTTGTAGTACGTTTCATGTTATTTCAAATAATATATGTTATTTCCTCTATCCTAATTTATATGGCACTAATAGATTTTGAGCTTCAACCAAATTTTATATATGTCTTTATAATATTTTAGGGTTTAATTACCTCTTTTTGATTTTTAATACATTAATATGATTTCTTCACAATTATCAGTAGAGCTACCTTTCAGTGTTGATGGTTTAACAACATACCCTTAAAAGAACAGACCAACGAAAGATTCCTCTTATTGTTTATTGTGCGTATTATTAAGTAAAAAGTATTCTAATTAATTCTACTAAAGATTCACTAATTGAATGCTGAGAGAAATTAATTAATGTGAGAAAAGTACTGAAACAAAGACTTAATCTACTCCATCCGTCCAATAATTATTGTCTATTATACTATTTTGGAATGTCCTACAATACTTGTCCACTTTATGAAATCAATGGATAGTTTATCCCTTATCATTAATTATAGTCATTTTTCAATTATATTTTTTAATATATTATATTTATTATATTTAAAGAATGATATAGTAATATTACTCTTTTATTTATAATTTCTTAAAAAATGTATAAAGTCAATACTGGAGAAATATTATTGGAGAGAGAATAGTTGATATCAGTCACCAAAGCAATACAACTAAGTAGTAATAAGTGGGGCCCATGTTTTCAGAAAGTTGTGCGAATTATTTGTAGTTTTAAGGGGACAAATTAGTCCAATAGATAAAAAAAAAAATGAAATGCAGTTGCACTACTCCTTTAACTAACCAATTGAATTACATTTTTCATGTGAAATTACAAAAGTAACATTTGAGGATTTTTTTGTCAATTCCCATAAATGGGAAGCTCCTCAAATTCACTCTTATTAATAGTAGTAATATAATAATTTTCAAAGTTAAATTAGATTGTATTAATGTGATATTTAAACAAAAAATTTAAATATGCAAAATCTATACAAAAAGTAGTATAAATTGTAATTTTTTGCATATGAATATGATGAAAAAACACATTGTAAAATATTAGTTAAAATTCTTATAGTTGACTCTAAAAAGGAAATCATAACAATTAAAAGTGTATAGAGAGAGTAATAAATAGGTAATTAAATTTCAAGAAGTTTAAAATAAAAGGTTGAAAAATAGAATAAGATAGACAACATATATTGAAAAATTCTTATAGTTTGACTCTAAAAAGGAAATCATAACAATTAAAAGTGTATAGAGAGAGTAATAAATAGGTAATTAAATTTAAAGAAGTTTAAAATAAAAGGTTGAAAAAAAGAATTAGATAGACAACATATATTGAAAATTGAAAACATATAAATAATAAATGGGCCCAAATGAGGTCTAACTTTTCGGCTAATAAAGTAGTAGGTAATTAATGGTGTTAAATTGTCCAATAATATAAATTTTAAAGGTACAACCATAAAAGAAGAATGTACAACACTATCTAAGCACATATATCCAACACTTGTCATGTGCTAAGTAGTAGATATTCCCACTTATTATATATAGTAATATAGTCTTAGAGCCCATTTGGATTGGCTTAAAAAAGTAGTTTTTAAGTCAAAAATAAAAAGTCAAACTGAAATGACTTTTAAGTCAAAAAATAAAAAGTAGGGGGAGACCTACTTTTGGTTTTTGACTTATTTTAAGTCATTTTTTTACTTATTTTAAATCATTTTTTACCTTGTCAAACACTTCGTAACTTATTTTAAGTCATTTTTGACTTATTTTAAGTTATTTTTTATTTTTGCCAAACACTTTCAGAAGTCAAAAACTGACTTAAAAATAGGTTTGATCAACTTTTAAGCCAATCCAAACACCCTCTTAGTACACCAA